ATAATTCATAAGATTTTCCACAGTATACATATTGTCTTTCATAAAAGAATTACTATCTTTCATCTTCTAATCCTTACATTTAGACTTTCTTTTATATAGTATGTGAAATTCCAATACTTGGATGGCAAGAGATCTAAAAGGTAGTATTCTGACTAGAGTGTGGAATGTAGTTATAAGAATGCTAAATACTATTGATATTTGCAAAACTAGGCAAGTAGGATGTCCAAAGGATGCTGGTCTGTCAGCAAGTAGTGGATCCCAACCCCTGGGCTGGGATTCACAAGGCAAAACCCTGTCATCAGGACTGTAAAACTGAGGCACTGTTTAAATTGTAAAGATTTTGGCTCAGAGATGTAAGTCAAGAAGCTGTGTTAGTGCAAGGCTAATGAGCAAGCAATGAACAAGCGTTAGTGCTGGCTGAGAGCACAACTCCTTCCTGACTCAGATAAGAATTGGTTGAAGGATAGGGCCAAGCTGAGTCTATAACTGGAGGTTAGGTGGCCAAAATCACAGAACAAGTTGGGGAAGTAGCCACTTTCTGGAGATAGATTAAGAGATTAAGCACTGGTGAGTCTCCATCTAGTGCCTTTGAGAGCCATTTACTTTCTTTGTCACCCCATCCTGTATTCAGCTGCCATACATCTTTTCACTCTTTAGTTTTCAGGTTTGAGAAATTTTTGTTGTTTATTTGGGGTTTGTATTTTTATTTTTAAGCAGAAATTGTCAGTCAACAAAGTAGCCTAAAATCCTTCCTTTGTTAAAAATCTTATATTAAATGTAACAATTCGTAATGGTTATGCGAGAATAATTTTGATAGCATGATTATTTTATGGGGACTCCTTGCCAAAGGATTTTTATCCTTGCAGACTTTAAATTAATTAATTTGTAAGGCCTTGACTGAACTGAATCATTCAGAATTCCAAGAGATAAATGTCAGAGTTTTTTTTTTTTTAAACAATGTTGTTTTTATTTTAACATGAGATTGCATTAGATAATAATTACAAATTATTGTAAGTGAGACTGAGTTCTTGATTTGGCTCTCAGCTTGAATGTTACTGGTATACAGAAATGCTGCTAATTTTTATACATTGACTTTGTATACTGATACTACTGAAGTCATTTATCAGTTCTCTTGGCAGAGTCTTTAGGGTTTTCTAGGTATAGAAGCAAATCATCATCAAAGAGAGACAGTATGACTTCTTTTCCTATTTGGATGCTTTTTCTTTCTTTCTCCTGCTTGACTGCTCTGGCTAGAATTTCCAGTGCTATGTTGAATAAGAGTGGTGAGAGCGGGCACCCTTGTCTTGTTCTGGTTCTCAAGGGAAATGCACCCATCTTTTGCCATTTCAGGATGGTATTGGTTGTGGGTTTGTCATCGATGACTGTTATTATTTTGAGACATGTTCCTTATATGCCTAGTTTATTGAGGGTTTTTATCATAAAGGGATGTTGGATTTTATCAAAAACTTTTTCTGCATCTATTGAGATGAAAATAAGTTATTTGTTTTTATTTCTGTTTACGTGCAAAAACAGAAAATTAAACATTGGGTACACAGAGACATGAAGATGGGAACAATAGACACTGGGGAGGGAGAGGGGCAGGGATTGAAAAATTACCTACCTGTATTGAATGCTGCTATACACTGTAGAGTACAGTATTGGTTGATTAAGCTCATGATCATGTGTCTGACTGGCAGCTGTGGCAGCTGCCTGGCATCATGAGAGACTATTGTACCAAATACCACTAGTCCAGAAAAGGGTCAAAATTCAAAATTTTGAGTACAGTTTCTACTGAGTACATATCGTTTTCACTCCATCATAAAGTCAAAAAATTTTAAATCGAACTATCCTAAGTCAGGGACCCTCTGTAAAATCACCACCTCCACTAGCTCACTCCTTACCCTCCTTACCTGCTCTGTCAGCAACATCAGTATCTCCTGGGGGAATGGTGGAAACTACAAATGCTCAGACTTCTGAGTCAGTAAGACTCAGAGTAGGGCCTAGCATTCTGTGTTTTAACAAGCCCTACAGGAAATTCTGATACACAGTAAAATTTGAAAACCATCAAGGGAGAACCATCACACACTTTAAACTCATTCCTTTTGTTTGTTGTTTCTATTGATATGATTACTTCCTGAGACTAGAATGGTCTAAAACTGCAATACCATCCTCTCCGGAGGAATAGTTAATCACACTCACTTTTTTCCTACATGAAGAGAGAATTGTTAGATGATAATTGTCCTGGAACCTTTTTTTGTTTTTACCTTTATATAATACACCTCACCAAAATATTTGATAATTGTAATGATTATTTTCTGATTATTAAAAAAAAGTAACTTTGAATCTAACTTTGGGGTTAGATTCAGAATGAATTTAGTAAAAGTCCTCCCCCCTTAATATAAGTGTGACCTTAAGAAAATTATTTAACCTTTTTGAGTTTTAGTTCTCAATGCAATAAAATAGGCATTATACTTTCCTATGAAATTTGTTGTGTGGATTAACAGTGAAGGTATATATAGAACATTCAGTACCAACCCTGGAGTAAATGTTCGGTGAAGAGTATCCATTGTTATTATAACTTATTTTAGGTTTCTGAGGTAAGAGTCTCAGGCATTTCTTGAAAAAGAAAATTTTTTTTGGACACTGAGTTTTACTCTGTCACCCAGGCAGGAGTGCAGTGGTGTGATCACAGCTCACTGCAGTCTCAACCTCCTGGACTTAAGCCATTCTCCTGCCTCAGCCTTCCTAGTACCTGGGATTACAAGCACTTGCCACCATGCCCAGCTAATACTTAAGACAAGGGTCTCATTATGTTGCTCAGGCTGGTCTCAAAATTCTGGCTCTAAGCAATTGTCCTGCCTCAGCCTCCAAAAGTGCTGGAATTACAGGTGTGAGCCACTACACCAGACAGTTGAAATTTTTTTATTAATTAAAAGAACTGTTTAAAGTGACAGCTGATCAGAAAAGATTTTAAAAGGCAAATATTTTCAAAACTTTACACTTATGTGAACATTAAATGTTATAAATTACAAACCTTTACTTTTAATAATAATATAGTATTTATTATGTTATTCTTAAATATCTAATATTTATCAGGTTCTCTCTATGTTCAGGCACCATGTTAAAAGCTTTAACAAGTATATTTACATTCAGCCACATAAAATAGAAGTGTAGCTTGAAACTTATAAGTCTTAATGAAAGAATTAAATCAGTTTTTTAAAGTGTAAATACTGCTTTCAAGGGAAAAATTTAAATGTAAAAAATGTTTATATATTTCTGAGGGGGTCAGAGAAGAAGATATCTCTTATTCTTAGAATTATGTTAGATCCACAATCCTTCATAAATGTTCTTTTCATTAGTTATCAACTGAAGTTTAAAAATGTGTCAAATTGATTTCATCTCTACTATGTTATAGCAAGACTTTAAAGAGTTGCCTGTAATTTCTACAATCTGGTTACATATGTTATGATAATAACAACATGGCATTCTTTTAAAGACCGTGTACTATGATAGGGAGAAAGTCACTGCTCATAAATGAAAGGCAGTATATTTCACACATTAATCAGATTAAATATGTAAAAAAAAGTGATTTAAGCAGTTTCAGTTTCCATCTCCCTCAAAAAACTGGATGTCATGAAATAATAAATTACTAGTAATTTTATCTTCTTATTTTCTCCAAGAAAAGCAAAGTTTTCTCTCTCCTGGTACAAAAAACAAAAAACAAAACAAAACAAAACAAAACAAAAAGCATTTCAAATGAAAAACAACTGATTCTCTAAGGGCTTTAAAACCAAATTCCCACCTACATTTCCCAGCTCATACTGGACTTAGCCCATTTCTTGCATCAATGCTGGGCCTCCCAGAAGGCCTGTCAGTATACTGTAGGCACTGATTGATGCCATTAACAAAATATATTTCTGATATTTGTGTGGCCCTCTACAATTCTTAGCACACTTTTTTTTCTGTAGTATCACATTTTATTGACTCTTTTACAGATGAAGGAAATCCAGTTTAGAGAGGACAAGTAACTTGTGTGGTATCCCAGCCCTAGTAAATGACTAGAACACTGAGTTCTAGTTGTCCTGTCCAGATTTATTTCAAACACTGAAGAGTAGCTTTGTGGGGAGTGGGGAGGGTGTGTGTGTGGGTGTGTAGCTCAGAAAGCAGACAAGTACGAAGGAGGGGGCAGTGGCCAAAATATATTCACACAGCCAAAACAGATGTAGGGAATTTGAGAAATGTACTGTTTTGGCTGGACATTTTGCTTCCCTGAATAAAATTAATTGTCTGTTACTAAGAAAGAATGGGAGGATGAATTATTATATGAACAATTAGCATTTCTATTGCATTAAGAAGGATTTCGCTATGCTCTCTCTGTCTCACACACACACACACACACACACATACACACACACTTGAATATATAAACATGAGCAGACTAATTAGAACTTCAGAGCTTCCTTTGTGACTGCTCTTTACAGCTAAAGAGCTATCAGTTTGTAAGTAAAGTTCTATACTTATGAACAACCAGACCAAGAGGAAGAACAGTGCCAAATTCTTTTCCTTACTCCTATTATTTTTCTGTTCACATAGTAAATGTTTAAGTAAGTATTTCTACTACTGCCATTGGAAAAAATATTTTTTGAATTTAGACACAGTAAAGCAATCGTTATTTTATTTTAGTCCCATATAGTAATCTAATATGATCAGAGCTTTAACTTGTCCTTAGCTATCTGGCATGATCATATTTACATTACTCTATACTTTTAATTAATGGTTCCTCAAAACGGCATACTGAGAAACAGATGTACTTGTTTTAATCTTGACAATTCATAAACAACATTTGTTATTCCTTTAGGCTGACCATTATGAGAATCAGTGAAATAAGGCCTGTCCTATCACAAAGTGTAGGGATTGTATTCAGCGTGTTTATTATATGGTACAGAAAATTAATTTAACTTATTTTCATTTTTTCCCACCTTTGTCTGACTGCTCTACAGGCTGTATATTGATGGTCCTTTTGGAAGTCCGTTTGAGGAATCACTGAACTATGAGATCAGCCTCTGTGTGGCTGGAGGCATTGGAGTAACTCCATTTGCATCAATACTCAACACCCTGCTGTATGTCATTTTGATCTATTTATTAATCCAAATAGAGAACTGCCAATATTTCAGACATCTCTCTTTTTAGTATAAAATAATTCCTTATTGAATTATTCTATTTGTTGATCAAGGACCTCCATTTACTGATTGAGGAGGGGAATAATTCAGTGATTCTCAACATGTGGTCTGTGACTCCCAGCATATTCTCTTGTAGAAAGATGTCATATCAGAGTTATGCACTCCTCTGTCCTTTTCCTCTGTTAGAAGTCATTCACCTCCATCCTTCATTTCTCTATATCCTCATCAGTGGTAAGTGGTTCTACTCATTCATTCAGTCAACAAATATTTTTGTGCACCCATCTGCCAATAGATCTTACAGGTATTGGAAAGACAGCAATTAATGAAAACAGAGTCCCTGCCCTTAAAAAGCTTACATTCAAATGGGGCAGGTAAAAAAGAAAGCAATGAGAAATATAAATAAAATTGTTTCAGAAAATATTACAATTATGACAAAAGGTAGACATTAATGGATATGGAAATAAAGGGCTGGGTTTATTGTTGAAGTATGGTCAGGCTTTTCTGAGATGACAACTGAACACATCATTCCTTCATTTATCACTTAGCAAATTTACAACAGACTAAAGAAAAGTAGCTTCAAAGGTGAAATTGTGGCTGGGCACATTGGCTCACGCCTGTAATCCGAGCACTTTGGGAGGCTGAGGTGGGTGGATCGCTTGAGGCCAGGAGTTCAAGACCAGCCTGGCCAACATGGTGAAACCCTGTCTCTACTAACAACACAAAAATCAACCGGGCATGGTTGTGCACGCCTGTAATCCCAGCTACCCTGGAGATCGAGGCATGAGAATCTCCTGAACCTGGGAGGAGGTTGCAGTGAGTAGAGGTGATACCACTGCACTCCAGCCTGGGTGACAGAGCCAAAAAAAAAAAAAAAAAAAAAAAGGTGAAATTGTCTGACCAGGAAATACCAAACTAAAACTTATTTTAGTTTCAGGATTATAAGCAAAAGTTAATTGATCGACATTCTTATGAAAACACAAAGCAAAATAAAAGTAGAAAGTTATTCTCAAATCTATTCCATTTACTTTTTTTTTCAGAACCAAAAAAGAAATAATAAGTTTAAGTGATGTGTTTGAATTATATTTTATTTCAGTTTTAAATACTAGATGTAAATTTGGTACTTCCTGGTGGTTCTTACAAAAATGATCATGCTCTAAGCTAGAAATAATTTGTTTCTGACAACACATTACAAGTTATTTGGTTACCTAATGTTATGAAAAAGGAAGAATATTTTCTTAACCTCAAGCCTACTTTTTATAAATGGGGATCCAAACTTGGAATTATGAGTTGCTGGAATGCATTACGTCGTACATGATTGTGAAATCTCTTTCTTTACTGATTTTTAAGAGGGGATAAACAACCAACTTTCTGGAATGGTTTGGCTCATTTTGCCAAAAAGCCAGGGCAAGACTGGATGACCTTTGGAGCCCTACTCAGTCTGTGATAGAATTCACTGAAAATTGAAAACTTCTTTTTTCTGAGATGCAAGGCCCGATATTATTCTGGTTCAATTTAGTTATGACCTTCAACTGGAAATGAATGATATGCATACTTGTGAATATTATTCACACTTAAATTCATTTAACACTTAAACACCTAAATTCATGAAGTATGTCATATCCTTGAGTCAATATATTACATATTACATTCATGTAGGTCTCATGGTAAGTGCTGTATCAGCTGCTAAAATGTAAATGACTGATTTTTATTGGTTGCTTACTAATGAAAAGTAAATTTTCAAAAATATAGGAATTCCTTAATATTTGCGTTTGCCATCCTAATCACTATCATGTTATTTTAATTTTAAGGGATGACTGGAAACCATACAAGCTTAGAAGACTATACTTTATTTGGGTATGCAGAGATATCCAGTCCTTCCGTTGGTTTGCAGACTTACTCTGTATGTTGCATAACAAGGTAACATTAGAGTTGTTTCTAGTTTTGCAATTTTTCAAATTAAAATAGTTATATCTTTTATATTACAAAAGCAATAAATGCTTGCCATAGATTAAACCATAGAAATTATGCAGATAAGTAGCAAGGAAATAAATAAGTCTCTTAAACATAAAAACTCAGAGATAATATCTCTTAGCAATTAGGCACACATCTTTTCAGATATGGGTATTTGTGAGTATGCATATATATCTAATATATTTTAACATAGGAACATTCATTTCTATGTTTTAACATAGGGTGTTTCACATGGAAATGTATGCATATGGCTGAAGGTGATGAGGGAAGACAATGAGGGAAATACCGGAAGGCACCTGCTGTAACATCTTCCATCCTTTGTTCTGATAGCTCTTATCCTTGATTTGCCATCTTTAATACTTCAAATCACCAGACTTTTTGGTATATGATACAAAATCTCAACAATCCCCAAATTCTGTGGTTTTTTTTTTGCAGAGATAAAGCAGGCATCTTTTCCTATCCAACCTGTAACATTTGACCTATTTATCTTTATTCAGATTATACAAGTGACACACATATGCGTCCTTGCTACAAATATTTCAAACAATTCTGATAAAGTAAAATCCTCTTTTACTACCTTCCCTACCTAATCTGTGTAAACAGAGGTAACTCTTAAGTGTTCTATAAATCCTATCGTACTATTTATATTGTTTATGCAAATTCCTTTATTAATTGATTACTATGTCTTGACTATTTTTTGACATTAGTGCGTATAGAGCTACCTTATTGTTTTCCCTGGTGCCAACAATTAGAGATGGTGGACCTACCTGATTCTTTTAGAGGATTTCATTGTATAGATATATCTAGTTTGCTGAACAATTCTCTAATGTTAGATACTTTTTTATTACAAAGAATGCTGAAATGGATATCATTATATATACCTCTTTCTGCATGTATTCACTCATTCAGTCATTCTATCATTCAGTGTATATTTATTTATTAACTGATTACTATCAATCTGAAACTATTCTAGGATCTGAAAAGTCATCAAGTGGCAAAATAAAACCAAGTTTCTGATCTCACGTGGTTTATATTCTAAGGGGGCAAGATAGACAACAACCAATAAATACATCGAGCATCAGGTTCTGAGATTCGGGTTAGGACAAAGGAAGGCAAAGTAGGAGTAAAGCAGCGTGAACAGTAGAGGGTGTGTTAATTTATATTGCATGTTCAGGAACACCCATCAAACAAAATGTTATAATGCCATTTGAGCAGACTTGGCTGAAGTGAATGAGCAGACTAAACACATATTATGGAGAAAAAAAATCAAGATAGAGAAACCTAACTTCGTAGGCAAGAGCTCTGAGGCAGTAGTATACTTGGTGTCCTGAAAGAAGAGAAAGGAGATCTGTGTGGATGAAGCGGAGTAAGCAAGGGAAAGAATAGTAGGAGATGAAATTAGAGAGGTGGTGTCTGTGCTTTTCTGGGAAGAAGTGGATTACATAAAGGCCTCCAAACTTTTTGCAAAATAAATAATAAATAAATAAATAAATAAAAATTAAATAAATAAAAAGATTGGTTCTGGATATGTACCTAGAAGAATTAAAAGCAAGGAATTGGACAGATGCCCATAGAAGCATTATTCACAATAGCCAAAGGATGGAAACAACCCAAATATTCATCAATAGATGACTGGATAAACAGATTATGATATACGCACACAATGTAATACTACTCAGCTCTAAAAAGGAAGGAAATTATGACATATACTATGTGGATGAACTTTGAAGACATAACGCTAAATGAAATAAGCCGGACGCAAAAGCACAACTATATTATGCTGTCACTTACAGGAGGTCCCTAGAGTAGTTTAATTTGTAAAGACAGGAAGTAGAATAGTCTCTACATATGCATCCTTGCTAAAAATATTTCAAACAATTCAGGTACAGTAAAATCCTCTCAGGTTGCCAAAGCCTTTGGGAAGGGGGAAATGAGGAGCTGTTGTTCCATATTTTTTTGTAGACTATTTATTTTTGCAGGTATATTTTGCCTCTGCATTTTTGTACAAGAGAAACCAGAGCCCATTGCTGAATAAGCAGAAGGCAGAAACAGGAAAAAGCGTCTATTTGTTTTGTTTTGTATTTGCTATCATGCATAAGTTAAATCACTATTGTCTTTTTTTCTCAAGAAAATCATGTTCTTGATGAGTAAACTGGTACAATTTTGAGACTCTTAAGGAATAAAATAAGGAGTATTTCAGAAGGACTAATATTTGAGAATATTTGTATAGCATTTAGCATGCTAAATTTTGTATCTATGAAGATAACAGAAAATTATTCCCTACCACTACCACCATCAGACCTCATTCATACCAAGAGGCCAGATTATTGTTAGAATCTGTTATATATATTTGCATGTATGTGTGTGTGTGTGTATTCATTTTCTTATAGATATTGGTTATGATAAGCTAGGTTATGTTAAATTCTAAATCACATATGTTAGAATAGGAGAAAATCTGAGTATACCCACAGAATTTTAATAAGTCTATTCCTTTTTCTGTCCTCCCAGTTTTGGCAAGAGAACAGACCTGACTATGTTAACATCCAGCTGTACCTCAGTCAAACAGATGGGATACAGGTATGTGGTTGATGTTATCGTAAATTAAACAAGCCTCTTGATAATAGATTTACTGTAGGAGCTGTGGTGGAAGAAAATTCCTGCAGGTGGTTTGAACAGAAGTTTCCTAGAGGAAGGCCTCCTTTGGAATATGTCCAGAAAAGTCATAGCTTGTCCTTGAAGTCAACCATATTATGCCTTCCATTTGTCCTTCTCACAGGGAGCTGGGGCAGACTCAAAAGGTCTGAGTCTACCCCTCCCCTCTTCACTATCACCTCAAGTTCTTCTAAAATTCAGACTACACATGAACAGCCTTGTGATTTCTTTTTATTGAGGGGATATTTTATGTGGAGAGAGAAGATGAGTTCATATACAATTAAGCTTATTTCTAGACAAGGGAAACTAAAAATAATGACAACCGTCATGCATTATTTATTTACTCTTCTAGGCACTGTGCTAAGAATTTCACATATATTAGTTTATTAGTTTAAAACAGAGTCAAGCAGTAAATGATATTCCCGTTTTGCAAATGATGAAACTGATATTTGAAGACAACATTGAAGAGCTGGACTGGTGTATAAATCTAGGCATGAATGCATTAACAAATTGTATTTTAGTACTTTTTGTCGTACATTTTCACAATACTCGAATACAAAATTTGAATGTTTGTCAGTTACCTCAAAACTAATCTAACCCTAATTTTTCCAGTCATATTTCTACCCTATCTGGTATGTAAAAAGTATTGCATTTTACTACTCTCACGAAGTAAGTCAATATCACTTTTCCTCCTGGTATTGCTATAATGAAGGTATGAAGCATAATTTGCATTTGGTTCTCAGTTTGCCTGCCTGGGATTCACATACTTCCTCCTTTCTCTGCAATTCACTCTGACTCTTCATATTGATTTAGATCTAATGCTCTGTTAATTGCAAACAGGAGCCCATTCACAGCCATTTATTGATAAACCCCATTTTGGAGTTCTGCTGTCTTGAGCTGTCTTGTCTAGGATCATTTCCCAAATGTATGATGATAATTTGTAGTATTTTACTTATATAATGAGCCAAATATGACAACTGTATTTGTGGTGCCAAAATACTTCCATGAAGTCTATGTGCTGAGCCTTTTTGAGGGTGACCAATTAGAATTCATTCTTTGTCTTACATTGCAGTTCTTTAAAGATGAAACAACTAACTGAAGTCTAAGAAAATTAGCCATTTGTCAGAATGGCATTCAAGGAGATTAGTTCTAACAATTAATTCAATTGAAAATCAAGTTTTTGTACCTTTTTACCAGAATGGATTTTGTTTGTTTGTTTAAAAACAAACAAATGCAATTCAAGGAGATAATGGATTTTAAAAGAAAGTCGAAAGGAAATGATATTTTGAAATAATTGTACGTAATAGGTTACCATTTGATACTTACATTCTTTATATCACAGCAATTTAGTGGGAAGTCACAGCACCAGCAGAAATGATGTTAGAGAACTAGGTTACTTAACTAAATCTCGAATAATGTGGTGCTTTCTTTTTGGCAGAAGATAATTGGAGAAAAATATCATGCACTGAATTCAAGACTGTTTATTGGACGTCCTCGGTGGAAACTTTTGTTTGATGAAATAGCAAAGTATAACAGAGGGTAAGTACTATACCTCAAAAGTTTGACATGTGGCTAATAAATTAATTAAAATATTTTCAAATAATTACATGAGGTTTAAAAATGAATTGGCAATGAGTTTACAAATGACAAATTCACTGAAACACTCTTTCACTATCAACAGAGGAAGTAAGGCAGGTGTCGTCCTACATTTTTGTAATTCCAAATAATTAATGTTTGGCTTAGAAATAGTCTATAATGTATTTATGAACTAAACTTTCCTACCTGATTATAAATTTGTAAAGACCTATATTAAAAATGGGTATTCTCTCCCACAGCATATATCAGGTGATCCTAGGAAAATTTTTCAAAATCGTGTTTGCAAACAAAGAAATTTACAATTAGTTCTAACAATGAATTCATTTAAAATCACATTTTTGCACCTTTTTTACCAGAATGAATATGTTTTTTGTCTGTTTGTTTGTTTTTTTAAAAAAAGCTCTGCTTTGTAATATGCAGTCTTTAAACCTGGAATATTTCTAAACATATTATTTAGAAACTATAATTTTATAAATAATCTTGTTCTTATAGACTATGTGTCTATGATCTGAAGAAATTATTGTAGAAGGAAAGCTTTCATTTTAGGGCACAGACCAGTCAGCCCTTTTGTCTTCTGTAAATTTACCATAGTGAGAGCACTGATCTATAAGAATTCTAAGAAGATACTGAAAACTATATAACCACTCACATATTTTTAGGTTTACATCTAAACAGTTTCATCATAAGTTTAAATGGTTGTAAAAGATGTGATTTCTAACATATTGCAGGTATTGACATTTTGTAATTAATGTAATTTCTTCAAACATATCCACTGGAATATAAATATAGCTAGATGATACCGTCATTTATTATAAAAATACATAAACTCTTCTTTTAGCAGTTGGATGTTTTACATCATTCTTTTTCTTTCATTTAAGTTGTATTTCTGTCCCATTAACCCATATAATTTTATCAAAATTCAATATATTTTTACATTTGAACTAATCATATTTTTATTGCTAACCTAATCCTAATCATACTTCTGCAACAATAATGTACATAAATTAAATATTTCATTTTAAAATTTCCTGTAATCATAAGACTCCAGTGTTAATTTTTACTTCTGGCTTATCATTACAATTACTTTATATAGTTGAACACTCCATAATTTTTAAAATATATTTTTATAAACATCAAAAGGATATATGATTATAAATGCATAGGCCAGCTTATTAAATGAATATTTTTTAAAAATCCAATTTAGGAATTCATGGATGAATATTATTTATTGAAGAAATCACTGGTTCAAGATGATCCCTATCTCTGCCTTCAGAGATTTGGTTTTAGAAATTATAGAATGGAGCCTGGGAAGCAAAATATAAGAAAGAATAAAGTTACCCATGAGACTCAGATTACAGCCATGTTTAAACTTTTGTAGTATTACCCTTCCCTTGATGAAGTAGTTTTGGCATGAAGATGTAAGCATGATTTACAAAGCAGAAGTTCTTTGTAATATTCAGAGTTGAAATTTAGAAAAAAATGATCTACCCACTTTTGATTATCTTCCTCTCCCATCTTTCTCCAGTATCACCCATCTTAGATGTGATAATCTTGTCATACTCCTCTCTTGCTATGCTTTGCAAACATGTTTCTCTTTAATACCATTTACTGACTTCTGACAAGAATTTTTTTGTCGATTTTCACTGTATATTGCTGAAAACTGATGGTTTCTTTGGCTGAATTCAGAAACCAAATCTCTAAAGAGCAGATTATTTGCAGATTGAAATAGATCGACGCTGTTGATTCCTACAGTTAGTTCTCAAGAAGTCTCATTCGTTAGGCTGTTTGTGTTTTAGAGCGATTTGTGTGTGTGTGTGTGTGTGTGTGTGTGTGTGTGTGTGTGTGTATTTGGTAGTTTGTTCTTTTTCTGGAAAAAATGGAAAACTGGTTTAAGAAGAGCAAATGTGCACCATCTGCTGTTGACATTTTGTACAACACTTTGACTTTGTGTATTGATTCTCAGGCGGGTGCCTGAAATGTGTTAAACATTTTTTTGAAGGATTTTTATGTAGCATGCTTAGGAAAAGAATGGTTCAACATTCTTAAGGTCTCTTTAACTGGACAAAGGCACTGCGTAAATGAATGGTTTCATTTAAGATGTAGCATTTTGATTAACCTCATGCACATAAATTGCTGAAAACATAGAGATAATAGTAGGAAAGACAGATGTATACGTTAAGCTTTTTATATATCATATGTTGGGCAGTACTTTTTTTGTATTTAATATATATATATAATTATCATACTTTAAGTTCTAGTGTACATGTGCACAACATGCATGTTTGTTACATATGTATACATATGCCATGTTGGTGTGCTGCACCCATTAACTCGTCATTTACATTAGGTATATCTCCTAATGCTATCCCTCCCCTCTACCCCCTCCCCACAATAGGACCTAGTGTGTGATGTTCCCCTTCCTGTGTCCAAGTGATCTCATTGTTCAGTTCCCACCTATGAGTGAGAACATGTGGTATTTGGTTTTTCTGTTCTTGCAATAGTTTACTGAGAATGATGGTTTCCAGCTGCATCCATGTCCCTACAAAGGACATGAACTCATCCTTTTTTATGGCTGCATAGTATTCCATGGTGTATATGTGCCACATTTTCTTAATCCAGCCTGTCACTGATGGACATTTGGGTTGATTCCAAGTCTTTGCTATTGTGAATAGTGCCGCAACAAACATATGTGTGCATGTTTCTTTATAGCAACATGACTTATAATCCTTTGGGTGTATCCTGAGTAATGGGATAGCTGGGTAAAATGGTATTTCTAGTTCTAGGTCCTTGAGGAATCACCACACTGTTTTCCACAATGTTTGAGCTAGTTTACAGTCCCACCAACAGTGTAAAAGTGTTCCTATTTCTCCACATCCTCTCCAGCACCTGTTGTTTCCTGATTTTTTAATGATTGCCATTCTCACTAGTGTGAGATGGTATCTCATTGTGGTTTTGATGTGCATTTCTCTGATGGCAAGTGATGATGAGCATTTTTTCTTGTGTCTGTTGGCTGTATGAATGTCTTCTTTTGAGAAGTGTCTGTTCATATCCTTGAGCAATACTTTTTAACTTTCAAAAAGTGATTATTTATTAAACCAGTAGGCATTAGTTTAGTATACTATGTAGAATACAAATTTAAATTGGATTAAACACTCCTGGCCCAGAGGTAATGATTGGTAACTCTTTGCTATGTATTCTTACAGAAGCTTTTGTAAGTTTGTGTGAGAGTATGTGTGTGTATTTATGAAAGTATATGTAAACATATGTTTGTGTGTGTGTGTGCTATATATATTTAAAATTGAAACTTTAAAACAAAAATTGAATCTATGACAAGTAATTCTTCAGCTTACTTTGTTATTTATTTATTTATTTTTTCTTGGCTTTGCTAGGAAGAACCAACTAACTTTTTAATGATGTATTTCTTTTGGTCATGGACAATTTCTGTGTAATTGTACCTCAAAATATTCTAGAGTATAAACAGACTAGGTTTAGTCTATCACATTTACTCCTGTGACCCTGAATCAAGTGACTCAGTTCTCCTGGATCTGTAATGCAATGAGTGAATAAGCTCTCTGGAGTGATTAAGTTCTCATTATGTAAGATTCTATGTTTACAAATCTACATGAAAAAGCAAGTATGAACATTTATAGAACTAGTTTCTAATGTCTACCCCCAAACCACATTTTCTACTCAGTACCTGATTCTACCTCCACCCATTCCATCAAAGGTTATGTAGAGAGGTCTCTAGATAATTGTTGGATTGCAGCACTATAATGCAAATTTAGTACAAATGAATTGCAAAGATTGCTTGTAGAATTTGGAAAAAAAAAAAAAAGTAAGATTTCATTAAGTTAGTGAGAGTGACATTAGGGAATTCCTCAGATCACATACACACAAAGGCTATCAGAGTTAAGCTAGTTAATAACTGCAAAAGAAAATGTTAAAAAAAAACCCCACAAAAATCATAATATCCTGGGTGATTTAAAAATAATGATTTTTATTATTATTTATTTTATAATTAATACTTGATTTTATTATCACGTATTTAAGAAGTACCTTTAGGAAATCTGAAAAACTTGCCAAACTAGTTCTATAATTGCCCTGTCAAAGCCAAGCAAAAAAACAGTGGTATCTTATTGCCATCATACCGTGTTGACAGAAAGTTTACACAAAGAAACAAAATGACTCAATTCTCTTTTTATTTTAATGGAAGCTACATTATGTTTCAATAGTAATTTAAATTTCATTAAGTATAAAATCATTTAGTTTCATATGTTTTTATTTCTTTTGCTCACTTTGGGTTTTATTAGCTTTTTTTAAAATTTTTACTAGTTTCTTAAAATGGGAACATAGGTCGTTGATTTCAGACTGTTTTTCTTAATAAAAGTGTTTAATGCTACACGTTTTCCTCTAAACATCACTTTTGCTAACTCTTATACATTTTGACTTGTTTGTTTTCAGTTTCATCTTATTCAAATATGTTTTATTTTTATGTTGTTTTTTTCTTTGACTCATGGGTTATTTAGAAATATTTTATTTCCAAATATGCGGAAATTTTCCAGGTATCTTTTTGTTTTTAATTTCTACTTAAATTGTGATTTGATCTAAAAATGAACTCCTTGTGATTCTAATCCTTTAAAATGTATTGATACCTGTTTTATTGCCCAGAATATGTTCAGTCTTGGTGAGTGTTCCATATGCACTTAAAAATAATTGGTATTCCATTATTGTTAGATAAAGCATTCTATAAATGCCAATGAGTTCCAATAGGTTGATAGTGGTATTCAAGTTTTCAATATGCTTGCTGAATTTCTGTCTGCTTATATTAATTACTGAGAGGAGAGTATTGAAATAATTAACTATAATTATGAATTTATCTGTCTTTGCGGTTCCATCAGTTTTTGCTTTATGTTGAAACTTTTTAGTTTCAGTGTTTAAATCATTTACATTCAATTTAATGAAAATACGGTTGGGTTTAAATCTAGCAGTTCACCATTGCTTTGTACTTATCTATTTGTTCTTTCTTTGTTTTATTTTCTTTTTTTACCTTCATTTGGGTTGAGTATTTTTTATTATTCCACGTTTTTCCTCTAATGTTAGCTATACCTCTGTATTTTTTTTTATTTTTAGTAATTGCTTCAGGTCGTTGGTTCCCAAACTGGATTCCTCAGACCAGCATCAATTGGAATCTTGTTAGAAAAGCAAGTTCTTGAGCCCTATCCAAGATCTGCCAAATCAGAAACCGTAGGGATGGGGAGACCTACCTATTTGTGTTCTATGAAGTCTCTGAAATGATTCTGATGAAGCCAAAATTAGAGAAACATTGTTCTAAGTTTACAGTATACATCATTAGCTTATCACAGCCTATTTTATGTTTATGTTTATATTTATTTTTTAGAGACAGAGTATTGCTCTGTTGCCCAGGTCAGAGTGCAGTGACATGATCTCGGCTCACTGCAATCTTGAATTCCTGGGCTCAAGAGCTCTTCCAACCTCAGTCTCCTGAGTAACTGGAACTACAGTTGCATACCACCATGCTCAGCCAGTTTTAAAAATGTTTTGTAGAAATGGGATCTCACTCTGTTGGCCAGGCTGGTACTTTGAATAATATTATAACACTTCATGTACTTCCATTTTCTTCCATCCTTTTTGCTATTGTTGCATTCACCTTACATATACATATGTTATAATTCTCATCATTAGTATTTTTGTTTTAAACATCAAGCACATATTAAAAAGATTAGAAATTAGACAAAATACATATTTTATATTTACTTACAGATTTTACTATTTTGCTGTTCTTCATTCTTTTGGTTAGATTCAAATTTCCATCTAATTTTGTTTTCCTACTTCTTGAGTAGTTTTCTTTAGTGTACTTTATAGTACTGGTTTGCTGGCGATAAATTCTTTCAGCTTTTGTCTGTATATAAAGTTTTACTCCATCTTAATTTCTGAAAAATCATTTTTGTTTGGTATAAAATTTGCTTGATACATAATAGTTGATGTTTTATATTTTAGCACTTTGAAGATATCACTTCATTGACTTCTGACTTGCATAGTTTATGATAAGAAGTTCACGTTCATTCTTATATTTCATTCTTATATTTTCTGTTGATGATTTGTAATGTGTCTTTTCCCCCAGTCTGTTTGGTTTTATGTTTTCTTTTTGTCACTTGTTTTTAGCATTTTATTATCAATTGCCTTGGTATAGTTTCCTTTGTGTTTATTCTCCTTGGGATTTATGAGATCTTTTATTTATTTATTTATTTCTTCTCCCTTGGTCTTCTCTTATGTTGGACTATGGTTACATGTATTTTTGACTAGTTGGTATTATCCCACGGACCACTGATGCTCTGTGCTTCTTTCTTTTTCTTTTTCTTTTTTTTTTTTTTTTTTCCAGTTTTTGTTCTCTGTGGGTTTCAATTTGGATAGATTCTAATGCTGTTTCTTCAAGTTTACTTTTTCTTCAGCAATGCCTATTCTTTTTTTTAACTCATCTAGTGTATTTATCATTTCAAATATTGCACTCCATCTCGAGAATTTATGTTTGGGCCTTTAAAGAATATTCCATTTATTGTCTCATCGTGATTATGCTTTTCTTTGAATATATGAAGCCTGTATATCATCACTGTTTCAATGACCACGTCTATCATTCTGAGTCTGTTTCTGTTGAATGCTCTTTCTCCTTGAATTAGTTTGCTAGGGCTACCATAGCAATATACCACAGACTGGGTGGATTAAACAGCAGCAATTTATTTTCTCATAGTTCTGGGGGCTGGAAGTTTAAGATCAAGATGCAAGCAGGACTAGTTTCCTGAGATCTCTCTCCTTGACTTGCAGATGGCTACGTTCTTGATGCCTCTTCACATGGCTTTTTCTCTGTGCATGCACTTCCCTGGTGTCTCTTTTTGTGTTCAAATTACTTCTTATAAGTATACCATTCAGATTGGATTAGGGCCTACCCTAGTACCCTCATTTTAACTTAAATTGCCTCCTTAAAAGCCTTGTCTCCGAATGCAGTCACATCCTGAAGCACTGAGGGCTAGGACTTCAACCTACGGGTTTTAGAGGGGCACACTTCAGCCCATAACACTCTTAGTTATAGTTCATACTTTTTTGCTTTTTGAATTCCTGGTACTTTTTTTTATTGATTTCTGTACATTTTAAAGTTTAAATGTTTGGTGCCAAATTTTGATTTATTTATTTTAATAGTTTTGGACTTTTTCTGACATGCAGTTAAGTTACTCAGGTTCAGTTGGATCTTTACAAGGCTCACTTTTAAGATTTGTTAGTGGAGGTCCAGAGCAGCCTTCGGTCCAAGCTTAATTTTACCAATATCCCCTCTACTCCTTGCAAATAAGGTGATAACCTTTCTGAGAATACAACCCATTGCCCTGTATTTATAGGACTTTCTATTCTGGTGTGTGTGAATGCAAATTATTTGCAGTCCTGTGTAAACTCTGGCAATTATTTGTCCTGTTGATCTCTGATAGCTCTTTACCCACATTCATGAAGTTTCTTCTCATATATGAACAGATTATTAATCAAACAAAGACTTGAGGACTCTTCTCTCCTGATCTCCAAAGCATCTTTCTGTGGATCTCCCTTCCCTTCCATATTCTGTTCCACAAATTCCAACTGTTTGGCCTCAATGAACTCCGCTCTTTGTCTCCTCAGTGTAATCACCAATCTTTGCTAGAGTTTCCCCTCTCTGTGCTGCAGCCAGTAGATTGCCTCCAGGCAATAAGCAAAGACAGTGACTGTGCTTAGTATGTTTTCTTCCCTTTTCAGGGATCATAGTTCCATGCTATATAATAATAGCATATAATACGTATACAACTATATAATATATGTAATATATAATATAATATATAATAATAGATATAGCTCTATAATAGGTATATAATAATATACCTATTATTCAGTGTCTGAAAATACTTATTTCCTCTCTTTGGTTTGCTTTTTTATAGATTTTTAATGTAAGAGGGTAGATCTGATCCCTATTACCCCATCATGGCTCCAAGTAAAATTCTATTTTCACAGATTTTAGTTTCATTTTTCAAGGTAAAAAGTTTTAATAACTTTTTTTTCGGTATTTACTATTAATTTTTGGTACCAGTTTTAATGGATTCAGTGTCTTTTGTTCAGCATGAGTTATTCTGAGATAATCAAGACATACTGGATTTTCCCAAGATATGAGATGAAATATTAATCATTTTGACATCCTAGGAAGAATCAAATGCAAATCAAACTTGGGAAGAAGGTCAATTTGAAATATTATTTATTTCCTGGGATTTATTTAGTCTATCTGTTAGAGATATGTATTATTTATCTGCTAAAATTTTATATTCGAGAATAATAAAAACTGCTTGGCATTTGTTACCATTATTGCAGTGCATAAATAAAAAAGAACTAGATGAATATGTTTTTTGTTTTACTGTGAATATAAATTGGTTGCTTAAAAATACTATTTCAAATTGGTAATATCTTTTTTCTTTCCTTCCTTATTCATCACTGCTTTTGCAAGTCCATGTAGGAATTTTAGATAACTATGTGTAAAGTGTACAATAAAAGAAGAATTTACGTTGCCCAGTGTGGACTGAACATCTATTCAGAGGTCAGCTGTTTAGCAATTGACATCTATCAATCGTTGCTCTTAATGAGGTTGCTGGTTTCACCAATGACAAGTCATGAAAAGACTAAGGCAAATAATCAATCTCTGCCTGATAATAAGCATATTTGTGCTCATAGGTACATTCTTTGAATTACCCTAAATTCTAGAATGAAAAGTATGAGGTAAATAAAATATTTTCCTGGTTGACATTTACATTTGGAAATAATTAGAAAATTGTTTTCCATATGTAAAACAGCAAGAAATTGACTTTGTTAATACTTTAAACCATGCTAATAAAACATATTTCTTGTTACGTTCTGCCTAATTTTACACCTGATTTTCTATTTCCTCTTCTCTTATTCTAGGAAAACAGTTGGTGTTTTCTGTTGTGGGCCCAATTCACTATCCAAGACTCTTCATAAACTAAGTAACCAGAACAACTCGTATGGGACAAGATTTGAGTACAATAAAGAGTCTTTCAGTTGAAAACTTTTGCCATAAAGCAGGACTCTAAAGAAGGAATGAGTGCAATTTCTAAGACTTTGAAACTCAGCGGAATCAAACAGCTGTGTTATGCCAAAGAATAGTAAGGTTTTCTTATTTATGATTATTTAAAATGGAAATGTGAGAATGTGGCAAGGTGACAGGTCACATTACATGTTTAATCTGGAAACAAAAGAGACCCTGAAGAATATTTGATGTGATGATTCACTTTTCAGTTCTCAAATTAAAACTATTAGATGCACACTGTTGATTTTTATGGTGGATTCAAGAACTCCCTAGTGAGGAGCTGAACTTGCTCAATCTAAGGCTGATCGTCGTGTTCCTCTTTAAATTGTTTTTGGTTGAACAAATGCAAGATTGAACAAAATTAAAAATTCATTGAAGCTCAAATTCCATTTTCTATGTTGTGTATAAACAGAGTAGCTTTAATTTGCAAGCGCTCCAGGCAAATATATTAGATGTTTGAAAACACAGCACAAGACTCTGTATTGATACGGGTACTTTGTGTCAATATCTAATCGTCTCCACTACTTATGCTAATACCTCTATTTGATATCTGAAGACTATATGCTAACTGAACCTTCCTCAAATGTTATTATAGTATCTGTTTTTATATAGTTTTTTCTTTTTATTCCTCTCTCCAGGGAAATATGCCTTCCCTTAGCATGCATTAGACATCATGATTTAATAGATCCCTTTCATCTTTATTTAATTGAATACTATTGCATGGTAATGAAAATATTCCTACTATAAATTATAAAGGGATATACATACTAATACCTTTTTCCTTTTTTCAGTATTTTTGTCTCTATTATTGTTATTATTTTGTTTTGTTTTGTTTTTCCCAGGTAGAGTTTGTCTTAGGCTGTAGTCTCTTGGGATACTTAGTTAATTTGCACTTTGAGACCAAAGGACATCATGTCTGTCAGTAGGGACTGAATATAAGATTTATCTCCTTTGTCACACATTGGTTTATGATGGAGATATTGAAAGTCTAATCACATTCTTGATTAGTAAAACTTGTATTTTACCTTCTAAGTAAGAGGAAATATGATATCCTTATTCAAACTTAAGTTTAGAATCCAGAATCTTACTGTTGCACTTTTTGGTATCCTGAATTTCCATAGGGAGCTATTGGGTTTAAAGTCACTGTTAGAACTACACTGTGTGATCTTATAAACTTATGTTCCCTGGCTCTCACATTCTTGGCTCAGAACAGTATTCCCCATTACTATCTTAAGAATTAAGGCATTCATGGCTCACGCCTGTAATCCCAACACTTTGGGAGGCCAAGGTGGGTGGATCACGAGGTCAGAGTTCAAGACCAGCCAGACCAAGTTGGTGAAACCCCGTCTCTACTAAAAATACAAAAATTAGGTGGGTGTGGTGGTGGGTGCCTGTAATCCCAGCTACTCGGGAGACTGAGGCAGAGAATTGCTTGAACACAGGGGGCAAAGGTTGCAGTGAGCCAAGATTGCACTGCTGCACTCCAGCCTGGGTGACAGAGCAAGATTTCGTCTCAAAAAAAAAAAAAAATAATAATTAAGGCATTTTACAATTTAGTGATTTTATTTAGTAGTCGGCTATCAATTGCTTTCAAATATAACACATTGCTGAAATCAGCAGTGTGACTTACCTTACCATTGTTAAAATGTTACACAAAACAACATGACAGATGCTACTGTCATTTTTTTGCTGTAATTCACCAATAACAATCAAGCATGCTAACCCATATGGAATGATATTTACTTGTAGATATTTCTTCCTCTCCTTGAAATTCTCCTTTCTGTGGAAAGCAGATGAATCCAAGAAACGGATGGGAAATGTGGAATGCTCATGCAGATTTAGCTCTGAAGGCATATTTAATAACTAGTATGTCTTGACAACAGTTTTAGATTAAAAAGAATTTTCATGAAAACATTTAACAGAAAGAACTAGTAAAAAGAAACTTTGGGTTAGTCCAGGCTTAATGTGCAATACTGACTCTATACTGATCATAATTTATTTATGTGATTATATTAAGGCACCTAATTTCCATAAAACAGGTAGAAGATTTTTTCAAAAGAAAGATGATGTTTCAAAGTTGGTCTGCCATTCCAGAGGAGCCTCCTTGCTTATTCAAGTTCCAGTAGGTGTTCAAATGTTAAATGTTAAACGTAGGTCATCTTTGCTTCTGCAGGGTTTCATCTTGCATGTTTAAGAGAACTTTGCTTTATTTTGAGGGATTAATTCTCTGCGGATCATTCTTAAAATATAAGCCTTAAATCACTAATTTTGGTAGCAATAAATGTTAAAATTGAAATGGTGTCCTTGAAATTTCTATAAGCTCACTATAACTTTGGAACAAATAAAGCAGCAACATTTGTTCACAAGATGATGCAAGTTTAAGAAACACACTCTGCTTGTCAGCAATTAGCATTTGCGCCGGCTGTGGCCGTGGTGGCTCACACCTGTAATCCCAGCACTTTGAGAGGCCGAGGCAGGCGGATCACTTGAGGTCAGGAGTTTAAGACCAACCTGGCCAACATGGTGAAACCCCATCTCTACTAAAAATACAAAAATTGGCCAGATATGGTGGCGGGTGCCTGTAGTCCCGACTACACGGGAGGCTGAGGCACGAGAATCACTTGAACTGGTGAGGCAAGACGGAGGTTACAGTGAGCCGAGATCACACCAATGCACTCCAACCTTGGCAATGAGACTCTGACTCAAAAAAAAAAAAAAAGATTTAGCATTTGAGTGCACCCTAGCATGAGAAGCCTTAGGAATTTGAGTTCTGGAACTATCAATATTGTTGCAGGCTAATGGTGTGACTGAGTCAAATTACTTCTCATACATAGACTAAAATGTATCATTTTATTAATTTTTGGACAGTGTATCCTTTTGAGAATCTGATTAAAATGCTTAGTATGACATACAGCACATCCCTACAATTTTGGGGAACCTAGAAACACACTCCAAAAAGAAGCACACTTGTTTAAGAACCTCTAAACAAAATGGCTATTGCTATATGTCTTTCTACTCATACACCTCTTTTCTTTTTCTTGTCTGGTTTTTTTTTTTTTTTTTTTTTTTTTTTCCTGAGGCAGGGTCTTCCAGCCACACTGGGATGCAGTGATGCGATCTCAGTTCACTGCAACCTCCACTTCCTGAACTCAGGTGATCCTCCCATCTCAGCCTACCAAGTAACTGGGACTACAGGCACAGGCCACCACACCTAGCCAATTTTTGTATTTTTAGTAGAGACAGGGTTTTCACAATGTTGACCAGGCTGGTCTCAAACTACTGGGCTTAAGTGATCTTCCCACCTTGGCTTCTCAAAGTGCTGGGATTACAGGTGTGAGCCACCACTCCTGGCCCAAACTACCAATTTCTATAGGATTATACCAAGACATTTATTTTGTGGACAAGGGCGTTCTCTTTATATGTTACCAAACAGATAATTCAGTAGGACTTTCCACCGGTTTTTAATCTTGCTGTATCACCTGATTTATGCAAGGGAAGGCTATCATTTTTATGTATAAATAATTCTAAAAAACTATGATTCATATACACACACACTCATACATACATACTAAATAAATCCATACATATACGTACATACATTTGGGACCTCATTTTCTTTTTTAAAAATTTCAAGTTAAAAGTGAAATGCTTGATAGTTCTTCATTCAGTGACTTTAAAATGCCAATTGGGTGACTATGGTAGTCTAGGCATTTAAAACAATAGCATAAAAGCAATGTAGACAAGGAACAGGCTGAATCAATTTAATCTACACAGCCATGTGATTTATAAACCCACAAATCAGTGCTTACTTGGAGCATTCACAGCAGGTGATGGATTTAAATTACGAGCCGTTGTTAAAGAGATTCACTGGCGGCAAATGGACTGTTGTCATTAATAGATAATGCTAGTGATAAAGAATATTCATTATATAAAAGAGAAGAAATTTTAAGAAAAAATGTTCTGTTTCTTAAGGACAGTTAAACTAGCCAAAAAGTGGATTTTCTAAACAAACCCAGGGGAAAATTTTTAAGTTGCTATTCACTTTAAGAAGTTTCCTTTTCTTGTGCTAACTAGGACTTTTTCCATGCACAGTTATATTACTGAAAATAAAATACTGAAAGTAGAAGTAGTCTTATTTTACAATTGGGAAAACTGAGGATCAAAATTGCTACAAGTCATCTATTGAGTTTGTAGCAGAGCTGAGCCTGGAATTCAATTTCTTTTTTTTTTTTCTTTTTTTTTTTTTTTTTTTGAGATGGAATCTCACACTGTCGCCCAGGCTGGAGTGCAGTGGTGTGATCTAGGCTCATGCAAGCTCCGCCTTCCAGACCCACGCCATTCTCCTTCCTCAGCCTCCCGAGAAGCTGGGACTACAGGTGCCCACCACCACGCCTGGCTAATTTTTGGTATTTATTTATTTTTTTTTTAGTAGAGACAGGGTTTCACTGTGTTAGCCAGGATGATCTCGATCTGCTGACCTTGTGATCCGCCTGCCTCGGCCTCCCAAAGTTTTGGGATTACAGGCGTGAGCCACTGCACCCGGCCTGGAGTTCAATTTTTTAAATCTCTTCTACTGAAAGGCTCTTCACCTCCCCATGAAATCTTCATCTAATAAAAATATCTTGCACTGTGAGTTTGAATCTCCCTGTTAAACCCGATTTAGTGTCATGTGGAAAATAAGACACTGAGTGTTAATTCCAGATTCAGATTCAGAAAATTATACTCTTCTGATGAATCTATCTTCTTATTCTAAATGTGTTAGTCTTATATGTTTTGCCTAACATTTTCATATACCTGTTTTTAAGTATGATAATTGTGATAAAGGGATTGTGTTCTCCAGAGTTTTGCATTGGAGAAATCTGTAATGTAGTTTCTAGGAAATGCTAATATTATAATTTTAAATTCAAGTTCATAGATGAAAATCATAACTTCACCAGGTGTCTAACCACCCAGGAAACGCTGGTATCAAAACAAATGACTATTGTTCACTACTCACATGACCATAACTCACTTTTTGTCCAGGAGAAAAGAGTCAGCATTTTGTAAACTAGTGAGACAGGAAATAAATGAAATCAAATGTAATGAGATTGACATTTACTTCAGCCACCTCAGGACAATGAGAACTCACTGTTATTTCTCTTCTAAATATCCTCTCTATTGCACTAACTTTATTATTCTATTCTGTAAGACTCTTTATTCTATTCTATACTATTATGTTCTTTATTCTCAAAGGACACAATTGCAGAGACTAGTTAAACTAAATTTTCTAAAGAGAAAAAGCAGAAAACATCTAATAATTAGCAAATAGGGGTTTATTGTAAGAGAAAAAAAGGTCATGTGGATCTTTTATAAAAATGAACAGAAAGCTTAATGTTGCTTTAGAACAGAG